CTCACTGTCTTAACCAAATTTGCATAACATGCACGTTGAACGTAAGTTTTCAAATTATATTATTGGAACCAGTGATACAACTGAGGTTCATTTTGCACTATCTGATGTCTGTATGTCTGCACATAGGCTATCCACCGTATATCATCCTTTGTACAACGGCTAATCAACAAAAATGGGTCATCGTAACATTTTGATTCAGAATAACAGACATATGTACGTATAAACATGAAATACGAGAATCGAACTCACAAAAATTATTTGGAACGTGATTAAGTGATTGATTTATTGAACAAAATCGTAGAGTATGTTTTAATGGTAGAAAATTGGTGAGCAATTATGTCTGGTAACTAGTACCAGATTGTCCACTGTGTACTGCCAGCGACATACAGCTAAAGTGTAAAACATGTACCCAGTTACAATGGTATTTCAAGGGCATATCTCTTAATGCTATAACAATAGGAACAAATAAATATAAATATATATATAATACACAATCTCTTCTAATCACGTGTTAAATTACTGTCTAGTAAATAAGCATGCATACTAATTCCATGTATACCTGGAGTGTGATCGAATGCATTATCAATCTCATATGTCGTTTTATTTATGTGTCCAAGTATTAGTATCTGTCGATTTCATATCCATTTTCCTGTTCATTGTGTTACATAATCCTTACACAACAGAACTTTGTTGTGAAGTCATTTGAGAAACAAACATCTATATATATTATAGACCCAGCATCAAAGCTTCCATTATAACTGCAACTCGTCCTCTTATACATAGGTGGAGGATGGTTGAAGTTCCAATTTCCAGAAATTAAAACAACAAGTTTAATAAAACGTCAGTTTCCTGATGCTCCAATTGAGATAATACACGGCACTGCTGCAGGCACTGTCACTAAGTGTTTTGACAAAGAATGGAAGGATGACAATAGAATGTTGGATTTCCTAACTCATGTATTGAACTTTAGAAATTCACAACCACCAGACTGCTTGAGATATTTCAGGGATGAATGCTGTTACGTGAAAGCAAATGAAATAATGTTTGATTACACTGAAGAAGACCTCAGTATTTGGAAGAAGAAACAACATGCCCAGTAGTAATTTAGATTACACGAGTTTTGCTTTCGAAATACCTAATTTTATTAATAGATATTTTACTTATCTAGTTGTTCAAATATTTCTAGCTTCTCTGAAACTGCTCAACGCGATTGCTGTGTATAATGATATACACACTTTACTAATCTAACTTTTCATGGCAATCTGTCATGGTTGTCTTGTATAATATTTTAATGTATAGTTTTTGTCAAATTTAGAAGCAATGGTCCAATTTGATTGAATGTTAGGCCACGCATGTGTTTTTAGTTTTTTTCTTTTTCGTTTAGAGATGATATTCATGTTTGTCGTTCATTAATAATAATTTATATCTTTAAAGATCATTCTAGCTTAGAAATGGCATTTGAATTTAGAAATTTGAAAATAAAATTCATAATAATGTCAATAGTTTTGAATATGTAGGACTTTTGATTTTGTGATAATGATTAATATTATTATGAGAATTCGTTGTTTTGTACATTTTGCTTCTTCTTTTTTCTGTATTTATGTTCCCGTCGAACTAGGAAGACACAATTGACATTTGGCTAAAATTCGGGATGATAATTGTGCAACGTGCTCCTCAAACGCGAAATCACTTGTTACATAAAAATGCCTCGTCAACATATTGACTACATTGGCTAATGTCGACCATTTACTATAAGAGTTGCAAAAATATGGATCCTTTGAAATGGTTCTTAGTTATAAATTAAAGATTTTGTAATTAGGGTTATGGTAAAAAAATGATATGAGATGTTGTGCAATGTGTTATTTTAAGACGAATAAGTTGTTACATAGACTTGTGTGATCACCATCTTTGAGATTTACCAACTATGAAGACCATGCCATTTATTCATCCCCGGGTTTCGTCCTCCATTTTCCATCCCATACTATTTGATCACTTTTGTTTTCTTGCCGAAACTCCTTACAATTTAATGTCCCAGCTGTCTCAACTTTAAAACAACCAACAAAATGAGATCAATGTCCAGAAATTGAAATCATGGCAAAACAATGCAAATTCCTTCATGTCATAAACGAGGAATATATAATAAAATCATTGAGCTCTGATATTGATGGTATCATTGAAAAATTAGCCTGAAATGAAAACTTCAACAAATTCATAGACGAAAATTTAGGATCTCATAAATTCTCGACCATATATTTATTGAGCACAATAAAACAAATACATGCGATCCAATGCAAATGAATGAACATTAACGAAACGATACAAGATACGCCCGAAATCTCTGCTGAAAGAGCATCCAATTACAAAACAATCCCCGCGATAACAATCCGAGGAAACAATAAGTGTATAACATCTAGGCGACAAAATTTACTAGTAAAAAGTTTCCGCAAATATATCCAGGATTCAAAATTCACGTTTACAACATCCAGACATGGAACTAAAAATTAGATCTACTATTATCTCTATGATCCTGCCGACAAAAAATCAAGAAATGAATTTAAGCATAAATAATACCGGCCACAAAATCCCCGTGTATGAAATCTTGGGGACATAAATTCCAGCGAACAAAATCTCAGGGACGAAAACCGGGGATAACATTTCGTGGAAAAAAAATTCTAGCTACGGGAGTGCAGTCTCATTCTGTACAACACTATGACCATTGAACTGTAATGAGGAAGCAGAGCAATGTTTGAATGGAAAATGTCATTGGATTTTGATTGCAATGTCCAAGGAAGTGCAATGTGTGCTCTACTACTTGAGTTTGTTTTAGGAGTAGTGAAACCGATGTATTATTTCATGTTGTATAATCCACCCAATAACCGAATTGTTCCAATTCATGAAGAAATGTTGCCAAACATGAAATTTAGCGGATTTGAGATAATTTAACACAAGCGTTTTACAGAATGTATATGTCATAGCATTTCAAATTGAGTATTCTACCAACATACCCAGGAAAAGTAGTCATGTGCAGTCCGCTCCTTCCCACATGAACTTTAGAAAAAATCGATCAGAAAAGAAAAAGAAAATGCTGTCTGAATGCTCAAAACTTATAACGAGATAACATTAAAGTAGTGAAGAATATGTATACAATAGCAATGAAGAAGTGCGCCTTATTTTTTTTCTAAAATGATTTGGATAGGCATTACTGTTTCGCAAAAATGTATTTTTTTTCATAATAATTTAATAAATAAAAACTTTATCTTTCCACTGGTCAAACAGAAAGTGATTTTGAAACAGTATTTGTTATTACTGATATCCGAAGTGATAGTGAGAGTAAACGCATATAATTATGCTAATGTTGTAATACATGTAATTATTCACGAACACAAAAAACAAACTCCTCTCCATTTGACCCATCAGTTCATCAATAATGTACATATAAACAAAGCTCGATCATCAAAGATAATTCGATTTATTTATAAAACTTCAAATATACAACAATATTTCATGAAATATCATTGCTGTACTGGCTTGTTAAACATACATGCTTTGTAACTGTACTATAATATGGTTCATTACATCTTCACTGTATTTACCTACACCTTCAGAACAGACATACATACATACCGTCTGTTTTAATGTGTGAATTTATCGCTTTATATGTAGTGTATCTTGATGAAATACGTCGTTAAACGTGACTGAAAAAAAAAATTTAACTATTTTTGGCCGTAATACATAACGGTTGCTTAGCGACTATAAATAGTCACATAGCATAAATACGTATACAAATGAATATACATATATTACCACGTAATTCCAAAACATGTAAAGATACAATGCACATTAAGGATGCTGTATAGGTTTTTGGTATTGATTTTCTAAACGGGTGTTTCCATATAAAATATTTACTGAACCATACAAAGCTATATATTGATGGAAAGCTTATTTCACACTGAATGTGAAATCGACAAGATAGTGTGTGTATGGACGTGTAAGGTCACGTGATCTCTGTGTAAACACAGAAGCCATTTTCGGTAAAAAAATAATTGAACCAATGAATAAACGAATTTAGTGAAACATTGGCAACAACACAGTTTTTCAGACGACGCTCACCACCATTCTGCGTTGATTGAGATATATATCTACATGATAGTTGGAGAAGAAATAATAATTTAGCTATCTTGAAAAAACAATGCGATCTTGTTCTTTTCGGTATTCAGAAATTAGAACGTAATTTCGAAACAAATAGGAAAATAGAAAAATCCCAGCGCCGCTTGAGAGGCAACATATCGAAGAGTTTCTGTGCGAAAAATTAGTATAATTCGTCCACTAGAACTCGAGATCAAAGGCCTGCAGTTGCCGTGAATCGCTGTTTTGTTTAACCGAGAAAATGGCAAAAACAACTTAGCAGCAACGTATCTTTGGCTAACTCAAAATCCGTTTGTCCCTTGGATCGTTTTCTTTCGTCACTGTCATAGTCGACCCCAAGACGGTTTCATAATCGACTGTTTGAAGAGCGAGAAATTCAACGAAATTAATACTTGTATTACTAGTCTGAGCTTGTACTGAATGCAAGAGACTGTTTATATTTGCTATGGGTGGTGACTATTATGCAAATTATCTGTCTATTATGTCTTTGGCTGATTAATTAAAACATAGCTTTCAAAACAATGACATGTGCTTTTGTTTTTAATTAACAAAAATTGATTTTTACACCCTATAAAAACATCCAAATCACTTTTTTTCCTACTGAGTGTTTGCTCCTTGTAGTCAAGCATTGAAAAATACAAAAAAGTAGAATTTTGGGTTTCAAAGCAAAAAAACCTACACAGCATCCTTAAACGCAGTATACTATATAGTCATGAATAATGCAGGTAAATTATATGTTTTAGCTCATTGAGTTAATAATTGTATGTGACACAAATATCAAAGGCATTTTTATCCTGAACAGCGTCTTCACTTTCATCACTTTTTTTATTCTTTTACTTAATCCTACTTCAGCCCTGAATTTTTCGGTTGTCAGACCATTGTTAATTAACACATTAACATAATCGTTAATGATTTTTAACGATGTCAGGTTGTTCCTTCTTGTTTTTCTTATTCTTTTCTTCTAAATCTACTTTAGCCTTTAATTGTTCGGGGGTCACCTCTACATCAAATCCCATTCTAAATCTGACTTCTACTTGTGTAACTAAAGCTAATAGATTTGCTTTCGTAAGTAAGTAGGTTAGTGTCTTTGAATTGTTTTTTGTTAGATGTCCTGTTTCGCACAACTTCTGAAACAAAGCATACGCTTTTTTATTTTCGAGTTGCTCTCTTGCATTCTTTCCAATAGGCTCTTCTAATGCAGCAGTCAAGCCAACCATTGTAATGATATCTGATGAAACAAATAAGGACAGATATTAACCCAGATATAACACTGTATTGCTATTAAATATATACAAATAACATTTACAGCGAGTGAAGTGTCGTCATTTTGAACCCTTAACCTATATCACGATGCCAAATAAATGAATATGCCCTTTTCCAAATGCTGTCTTTACAGAAATAGTGATTGAACCTACCAAATATCAATGAAAACATATTCTCATGGAGTCTTTTGTAGCAAAATATACTCTGAGGACAGATGGAGCAATCGTCATTTTAATATGAAGAAATGTGCCAATCATGTGACGTGGTCCACAAAATAACGCGTTCCACATTGGATCACACACGATTATTACGTGGTCATCTGACACACGACATAACAACATAAATTATGAATTAATTATGATCTGATTCGAAAGAAATACAAGTGTGTTGCTCGGCAAGTGCCTTGCTGTGATAAAACTAATATAATTTGAATAAATACTAATTTGATATAAACTGTCCTGAGCATCAGTTACATTGTAGTTTTGTTGTATTTTCTATAGTTAGGCATGCGCAAAATAGCAGCGATGTTTCGAAAACATATGTTTTAATCGCTGTTAAACGAGGACGTAGCCACAAACAGTGCTCAGCACAGAATTTACAGCAAATCAATCAAAAGACACAAAAGAGATACAAGTCATGAAATGTGTAAATAACAAAAAAATGTTTTGAGTTATCTGCAATGGGCAAGCACCTTTCCTAAAAAACCTACCCATATGGGAATGAAATCATTATAACCCAAAAAATCTACTTTTACAGTGTTGGATCTTGTCCATAAAAACATCTTTGATGGAGAATAGTAAGCTTCTTTACTATCTATACTACTTTCAAAAGAATTTATAACATAATGTTTTCTCTTACCATCTCTGCCAATTTCCTCTGACAATGAGCATAAAAAATCCAAGAAGTGGTCAACACGTGCCATTGCCTGTTCTGGTTATTTTATACACAGGTGTATGCTATGCTCAGTACTGCTGCTGTCTAAGAATGCAACTATGAAGAAGAACAATAACATTAATTTATCATTTGGTTTTTAATGAGTGTAAAAGATCAGATTGAATGAACTAAAATGTGAATGTCTAAATTCCGTATATATTGTACAATACAGTGCGCATTGTATTGCATTGTGCTGTAACAGCACAAAAACAGCTCAAAAATGAATACATGTGAAACACAGAACATGAAATAAATACGCACTGCTGCAAGTGTGTACAAAAATAACCCACCAAGAGAACAAAACTATTGTGTCCTGCGCGTGTGCCAAATTCGCTAATTACAACTCACTTGAGAAAGTGCATTTCTGTTTTAAAGTGCATCTTGTACTATCTACATAATCGAAAATTCAGGTAATTGGTTCGTAATCAGGGAATATTCGTTTTCCGTTTCAAGCCCCGATGTGTTGCTGCAAACAAAAATTACTTTTGGGGATCAATTTGTTCTGCCTCTCATTGCGACGGCTGGCATGTATTGCAACCTTAGCCATGCACGTTGAGAAACAAAATATACTTTGTGCCTAGCTAGAAAGAAAGTGTTTTGAGCGATTGCTTGGTAAAATAGCGAACGGTCAATTGAAAATATGTAACCTTTTCCCTTTGGAAAGGCACCATGGGAAATACGCCACTTCAGACCTATATCTTTTTTCAGTGACCGACAATCTTTTAAATTAGGTTATGTATTAACTGGGCATGTCATGGTAGTGTTCAAATTGTGTGAGTGTTGTATTATTGAGATTTTTTTATATATTCATATTTTGCGCCCTTTTCAGACTTATAAAGTGGCAAATTGAGTACGTCAGAAAAGCGGCGTATTTCCAATTAGTGGAAAAATCGTGAATGATATTGATATAAAGATGGAGAATAGATTTTAATTTTATAGCATACCAGCGGCATGCAATCAAGTTTTATTTTTGTTTCTGAGAATAAATCACATAGTTTGGTTATTCCCGTCTCCACATTTCTTATGGGATTTAGGGTTATTTTATAAAGTAGCTCATTAATTGAATTTACGCAATTTTTATTTTAAAAGACGTCACATAACATTACATGAATACCTTGAAACACTGTAAACAGGCCGATAATATCGCTTCACACGTTAGTGGTATTAAACCACTTGCATTATTTTAGAAGAAAATTAAAACAAAAAAGTGTGCGTGTTCAGATAACTCACCAAGAAGCGAACTGAACTTACCACTTTATAAATGTGAGAATAACATAATTGATAAATATTCGGGTCCTCTGCATCAGTCCATGATTGTTACAAAGTACCAATCATTTAAAAAGACGGGAATCCGCAGTGGAGTATTTCTAATGGTGCTTTCCAAATAGAAGATTTCTGTTCAAAGCTTGACTAAACAGTTTTGAATATTGCCCCTTTTGTGACGTAGTCGACACACTTCAACGCAACATTTTTGATTGCTCGTCAAAAAGGAAAGAAAGATTTGGCCAATTGAAGACAAAATTAAAATATTCAGATAAGAGGTCACAAACAAAAATTGCACTAAAGTATTGTCACACTAAACGTTTGTCTATGTTGGATGTCAGTACAAAGTTGAAGAAACAGCCATTTTATATCATGCCAGTCTGGGTAAAAAGTTCGATTAAATCGAAACGAAAGTAAAAATGCTTAAACAGTGCTGTAGAAAGACAGATTTGTACAACTCAAGCAAAATAGAAAGAAAATTCAGATAAGACACGCAAACAAAAAGACTATACTTTAGTCTATGTACAAAGTCAGTACAAAGTTGAAGCAACAGGCAATTTCTGATGTTTACGCCACGTACGATAAACAGTGTCATCAGTGACGAACCCTTGATCAAGCCATTGTCTGTAGTGCACTGTAACAACCGTATGAACTTCTCCGCAATTTAAATTAAAAGTCTCGATTCTGAAATACTCACCACTCTGGCAAAAACTAGACTTCTCACTTAAGTCTTGTAAAAAAATGTTAAAAATACTCTCAGAAAACAAAATGCTGTGTAGAAACGACTCGACGCCAACTGACCTGGAGACAATGACAACGTTATCAACAAATCAGCCCATCGTAACCCTCGTAATAGGTGACGTATAATTGTGTCCATGGTGATTTTTTTTAACAACACTAAAGAATTGTCATGCTAAACGTTTGTTATATGTCAGTACAAAGTTGAAGCAACATTCATTTTCTGATTGTCACGCTACGTAAGATAAACAGTGCCATTAGCGACGGACCTTGATCAGACCATTGTCTCTAATGCACTACAACAACTATATGAACTTCTCTGCAATTTAAATTAGGTGTCTCGATTCTCAAATACTCACAACTATCGTGAAAACTAGACTTTCTTTTTATGTCTTCTAAATAAATTACATTAGATTCTCCCAGAAAACTAAATGCTGTCAAAGAACGTAGAGACAAGGACCTCGTTACAAATCAGCAAATCGTTACTCTTGTAATAGGTGACGTACAATTGTGTCCATGATGATTTTTTTTAACAACAACTACGACAAATTCTCCGTAACAAAGAAGAGATGTAATTCTCCGAATATGTTTCTTATATTGTGGAATAAACAGTGTCTGAATATAAATTAGTTCACTACTATCATGGCTACTATCATGGCAGTCTGGGTAATTAAATCGAAACGATGGTAAAATTGCATAAACGGTGCTGTGAAAGACAGATTTGTCCAATTCAAGAAAAAAATTTAATATTCAGATAAGACACCACAAACAAAAAAATTACTAAAGTAGCGTCACAATAGACTTTAGTCAATGTTTTATGTCAGTACAAAATTAAAGCAACGGCTGCAATTTTAAATCATGCCAGTTAGAGTGAGAATGTAGTCGATAAAATCGAAACGACGTGAAATTGCATTACGGGTGCTGCGGAAAAACAAAGACAGATTTGGCCAATTCAAAAAAAAATATTCAGATAAGACACCACAAACAAAAAAATGCACTAAAGAATTGTCATACTAAACTTTAGTCTATGTTATATGTCAGGACTAAGTTGAAGCAACATCCAATTTCTGATTGTTACGCCACATAAGATAAACAGTGCCGTTAGTGACGGATCAAGTCATAGTCGCTTGTCCACTGTAACAACATATGAACTTAACCGAAATTTCAATTTAAGTGTCTCGCTCGTCAAATACTCACCACCGTCGCGAAAACCAGACTTTCTAATTATGTCTTGTAAGAAAGCTAAACATTTATCAGGAAACAAAATGCTGGATTAAAACGACTCGACACGGACGGACCTAGAGATAATGACCACGTTATCTACAAATCTGCCAATCGTTACCTTAGTAATTGGTGACGTACAATTGTGCCCATGCCATGAAAGACACATTTGGCCAATTCAACAGTGCCATTAGTGACGGCACCAATTTAGAGGGCCATTCCTTTTCATACAGTTCAGATGTATTGAATGGGATTCGTGAATCAAAATCAGAGTTAAAAGATCTACGTAGTAAATATGACGACATGAGTAACAGGTCTCGCCGAATAACCACCAGGAGAAAAGTTCGGAATCGTGGAAAGAGTCTGAAACCATCGTGAAAAGCATAATTAAAACAAATTAGGAATTATTTCAAATGTGGAGTTTCAAAGAGTGCATCGTGTTGTCTTTCAATGACGGAAAACTTATCGTCGCTATGTATACTAACTACAAGAACAAAGAAATTATCCTAAAATACGCGTCGCGGCTACAAGGATCAAATATGTATATTGATGAGGACTATTCAAAAGAGATCAGATTTAAAGGAAAAAAATGTTCGAGTTCAGAAAAGCGTTGAAGAATGATGAGCCTAACATAAGGGCATACGTGAATTACGACAAACTCTCCGTGAAGAAACAGAGTGGAAAACGAACACTGTACGAATACGACGACGCTCAACATAAAGTGATCATATGCCAACCAAAGTAGCAGTCTGGTCAACGCCTTCATGAAATTGACAACATTAACAGTGAAACTACTTGTTTGGAACGTTAGAGGTTTGATAGGTAAATGGGACGATACAGAATTTATTGCATATTTAAAACAATTTGATATTATTGTTCTAACTGAAACCTTTATAGATTTATGCACCTTTAATTTAGAAGATTATTGTACTTATTATGTTAACGCACAGCGATCCGGTAATAAGGGGAGACACTCGGGTGGTATTATTGTTTTTATTAAAACTATCTTTTCGGAATTTGTTGAGAAAATTAATTAATTCAATTATTACATAGCATCTTTAACAGTATTTTCGATACAAGCATTTTCACCAAGCAATGGTGTGAGTGCATTATATTACCGATACATAAAAGTGGTTCTATGAATAATGCTTGTAATTATCGGGGTATCACATTATTACCAATATTAAGTAAAATTTTCAATAGAATTTTATACAATAGGCTACATAAATGGGATGAAATTATTGAATTTACTAGAGAAGAACAAGCGGATTTCAGGGCAGGCTATAGCACCATCGATAACGTATTTATTATTCACACATTGGTACAAAAATATCTTGTAACTAAACGGGGACGTTTCTATTGCGCTTTTATTGACCTCGAAAAGGCATTCGACAGAGTCAATCGGGTAGCTTTATTTTTCAAAGTTGGTAAAGCAGGTATTAGAGTTAAAATGTATTCCATTCTTAACTCAATGTATTTACAAGTAAAATCATGTGTCTTGACAAGTGATGGTCTGACAGGCTTCTTTAACAATCATGGTGTAGTGCGTCAAGGTTGTATTTTGTCAGCTTTTCTGTTCTCTTTTTTTTATAAATGACCTTCACGTAGAACTTCAGTCAGACAAGCTTTTAGGTGAAAGTGTTGTTCTGTGGGTTTAATTAAGTTATTTTATCTTCTTTTTGCGGATAATTTAGTTTTGATGTCTTACAATGTAATTGGATTGCAAAGATTACTTAATAAGTTGAAATCATATTGTGATAATTAGCATTTGAGAGTTAATTTAACCAAAACCAATGTAATAGTATTTTTGAAATGGAGGACCGTTACGAAGATACGATCAGTGGCGCTACGGTGGGAAAATAATTGAAGT